TTATTGTTTTTGTTATTATTTTAGTCATTAGATATACTGTTGCTAATTCTAGCTCGTAATTTCTTTTAGCTAAGTTAAGATTTTATTTTGCTAATTTCAATTTTTGTTCAGATCATTTATTTTATCAACTCAAATTTAACTTCAGAGAAATACAGAAACGTCCTTTACAACTCAGCATTTACATTACATTTTCACAAAAATTACATTTGACATAACCATTTACAATTTCTTATTACATTTTAAATGTTAAACCTTCATGTTATTCGACTATCTAAAGTAAATGTTCAGGAGACTTCCACTGATTTGTTTATTGCCAGCAGAGGTGGTTTAATCTGAGCTGCAATTTATTTTGCTCCAGAAATTTCTCCCCATCAGCAGGCTTTGTTTGTTGTGCGAGCATTTACCCCATCTTCTCAGTGTGAGTGCTTATTTTCAAAGTTCACATCGTCTCTGGCATCTCATTACAGAGTATTTTAGTGCCAGGATCCGTCCCAACTCTGCCACCCCCTACTTCACCCTGTTGTCGGTGTGAAGCGAGCACTACCGCCTRCCTGAAAGTGTCAAATGATGAAGCTCACGGGATGGCTTGCTGTAAATGCTTGTAAGTCAATATTTGGTTGGCTGACAGGGCAAACAGGAGTGTCTGAGAAGGCAGACGTGGTTGAGGGCGTTATGTGTTTAATCAACACGTGCGGACCATGTAAGAGCAACTGKACTTTGAGTGTTTTCATATGGCAGCGGAGCAGCTCAAAATGAAAGCAGATTCAAAGCCTCACATGAAATCCTGATAGGCTTTTCAGCTTTCTGCAGGCAAACATACACATCTTTTATCCTACCTTGACTGCTCTCTTTGGGGTCTCAGCCAGAATSGGAGGCAGGATTCCCTTGTAGAAGCCAAAGATTCTGTAGAAAAAAATGTAAWTGTTACAGCACATTTAAAGATCCATCACTAAAGGTAATGCTAAAGTCTTGAAGAGCTCTCACTACTATCCTGTTCACAATGTTGTCATGRGTGATATCACACAGCTTAGAGATAAAACAGGCAAATTACTGAACCAAATACACAGTTTCATTAAAAACAGTGTGCTATGACTTTGGGTAGCATCATATATTCAGTGTTTTTTAGGGGTCCAAGCCCGCGGAAGCAGGGTAACACAGCTGCAAAGCAGCAGGGTAGTTTCCATGTCTTCAGCGGAGCACGGAACCCTATTGTTTCTGTTCCGTTTTTATTGTCATTATTTTTTTTTCTTCTGTTGGTAAAACTCATACTGTGGCTCAAACCGCAGGGGCTATGAAGAAGATTTTAACAGGATAGTTTAAAAGGGTTACGTGTACGGAGGAGAAAAATAATCAGACATGTCAACCTATAGGGGTCGCCATAATCAAGGTCTTTGAATTTGGTCTTCTGGCTTCTTAACCACGTTAAAATATTTTTTGGATTATAGCAAAAATAATTCCTGGACAGTACTGAGTCAGATGCTATAGGCCACGCCCGTTTTCACCTAAACTTTTTTTCCTACAGCGCAAATTTTGCAAAAATTACTTTTGGCTTTGTTTTAAAGAATTAAAGTCCGATCACCACAAAACTCACCGTCCTATATCTAGTTAAATCTTGGTTTTCTTTACACTTTTGTGAATCATATGTATTAGCATAACTTAAATTATTWAAATATATGATGGAATATTGGCCAGAGGCTGCATTATAACCCTTCAACATTTTTTCAGTCAGCTAATGAGTTATACTCATAACCACAAAACAGGCAACCTCAATTAGCACACAAAGYAACCTAAGAACGTTGCAATTAGTTGCTGCATCCAGTCTGTACCCTTTTTTGATTTTATCTCAGCAACTTCCCTTTAGGTTGACTCTTTTGAATTTACACCAGACAGACCTGTATTAGCTTTAATGAGGTAGATCTAATCTGACAGGTCAGGCATGATGTTTACAACCGATGACATAACTCAAGCGTGTATCATATTTCTACTCATTAAATTTGACTTTTTACATACATAAGTCAATAAAAGTCATTAGGCGGCTTGTAATTCTTGTTTCAAATCACAAAGGTCTAACTGTGAGAGATTTACACGGCTTTCACTCACACTCCAAATATTTGCACATTCGCTTAATTGGTGATTCTAGCTTTCTTGTGGTTCAATGTCACTTCTGTCACATGCATCACATGTCAGGACAGCTGGCACATCAAACGCTATATTCATCTTATTCAGCTGGTGGGTGGAGTAAAAATGACAATYCAATAACAGAGAAATGTAAAACTTCTGTTGGTGATAGGAAAAGCTAGGATTTTATAAAGGAGTTTTAAATGGGTCACTTACATTATGGATCTGTCATTGTTTTATCTGAAGCCAATAAAAATCAGAAGGATTTTAGTTTAAAGATTTGGGAAACATTCGTATAAACTAGTCAAGCTAACTGCTACTCAAAATATGTCCGGTTTAAAAGGATAGTCTGGTCATTTTTAAAGTGATGTTCTTTCAGATAGTTATCAGAAGTCAATACTTTACCTTAGTAGCTACTATTTAGTAGGGGTGTAATAAAATATTTATAAACTGAAATATTGCAATATTTCATTTCTGGAAACTATCAATTCTCAAAATCACTGTTTTGATTTTTAATTAAAGAAGAAATGTGAAATACAAATGTAGCTCTCATAGTTGTTCAATGTTCTTCTGACTGGAAAAAAAATAAACTGAATTTAATAAGATTTTATGCATGTAATGCATTGTGTGCTCTTTATATTGAGTATTTTAAAATTTGAATTTTTGTAGATACAAAGGGCAATATATCATCTTGCTTACAGTAAAGCAGTATGATGCGCTATAATCATATCGTCACAACTGTGACATGACATATATGTGATTGATGTCATGGTTAATATGAAATTAGGAGAGAATTCTAGCCATCTGAGGCAACTCAAACCTCAAACATTTGATTATGTTTCAACTGGTCTATTGTAAACTTTTACACCATGTCATATTTTCATCACACGGTATTAGACATTTATGCTTGTTTACACCAAATACTAACTGTGTTGAAACACCGTCTGTTGTAACATGTTCAGTGTGGAAAATTCTGTGCAGCTTTCTAATGCAAAGTTAATGATGCATAAAAATCAACAACACAGCAACTGCTTAGATGGGAAAATAATTTTGCCAGTTTTATTTTTTTTAGGTGACTAATATCCAATCTGGAGCAAAGTGACTAATATCCAATCTGGAGCAAACCCCCAGGTTGAACGGCTGTGGCCATGAGAACACATTTTAACTTTTTTTTTTTTACTTCTGTTATAGAAGAATTGATACAAATTAAAGGTCAGGCATTCCTTAAAGAAAAGTATATTGCCCGCTGCCTTTCATGACAGAGAACTTAAATCAATTCATGACAAAATTACAGCCATTTTAATAAACCTTGTTAATGACATGATCTGTAAAGCTAAATGAGTTATAGTCATTTTTGTGATAGTTAATGTTGATTAGCTGTGGTAGCCATGCTGAATTAGGATGACTCAAAAAGGTAAATCAGTTGGAAAGGTACATCCAATTATTACTTTCTAAGGCTTTCATAAAAATCTGAGATTCATTAGATATTTTGAAAAGTCAACATTTTTTACATAACACATTTAAAAGAACTGCTGTTGGCCAAAGTGCTTCACATATTATAACTGATTAAAAGAAAACACACTACACAACCAAAAACAAACTACCACAAGAGAAAATATGTCGATTGACATAAACTTGAATTGGACTGGAAGACACTGTAGGAAAAAACAAAGAAAACAAAGAAGTGCACACGACCAATTGATATAACTTCTTTAAAAGGTAGTTACACACTTTGTAGCGCAAGCTTCAGTAAAAAAAAATTTTGATCCACGGTGATCGAAATTTTTTCCCACCATTACTGCTGTTCAAAAGGTTTGTGCCACAGAAAACAGCATTACTTGAAATGTTAGAATCCAGCTAAGAAAACAGAAAAGGAAAGTACTGTATTGTACAGTTGTTTGGCAACATAATTACCAAGATATGTTTTCAAACCACAAACCCAAATAAACATATTCTGTAGGTATATAAAGACAAAATAATTTAAGAGTGTTTTTCACAACATGATATACTAGWCACCTGAAAAGAGGCTTACTGTATAATTTTTGTCATATTGGTAGCTTGCCTAAGCCAGCCATGATTTAAAGAAACCTCAAAGCCAGAATAAATAATAAAATAGTGCAGTGAGTAATACATACAGTAATGTGGGTCTATATATGCACAACACAGGCTATATACTGTATTTATGACATGTTGCTGAAAAGCAAATAGGTGATAGTTTTCTCCTGAGTCTGTTCGTTTTTCCTGTTTTGCCTTTCAGCAAAATATCTCATGAACCACTGAAAGGATTTTAACGAAACTTTCAGGAAATACATCTACAACTGGTTAACTATCGAGGCAATTCAGTCCAAGATGGATGCCACAAACAAGTAACCTTAAAAAAAATGGCTATAATTTTATTTGACAGAATGAGCTAAAATTATTTATGGCTGATGCTTAAAGTCATTCACACAACAAAATTGAAGTAGTACTTGGTTAGACAATGTTTACATATTAACATATTTTTTTATAAAACAGTTCAGAAGCATTTTAAACTATATAGTACTCATAATGATTTTTGCTCTTGTATATTGCATGCAATTTAATATAAACTGCATAATATGCCTGTGCCTACCGGTCTGGTGCATGATCAGTTTTTGGCACAGACTTAGCTTTATTTTGCAAAGAAGGCACAATGAGTGTTTCATACATATTCAAAATTGCATACATATGCATTTTCCATAGCTTTTGAGAAGTTAATAAGTTAAATGGTAAATGGACTGTACTTATATAACACTTTTCTATCCATCCAGGACACTCAAAGCCAGTGGTGTGCCGTCAGGGCCAGCAAAGCCTTCTCTGCTGGCCTAAACATAATCAGAATCACTACATTATAGAATATTTTATATTTATTATAATAGTTATTAATTTTATTATTGCATTATTATTATTTTTGAAATATCTGTTCTCTTAGTTTCAAAGTTTTTCTCCTGGTGGGCAGCTACCAGCAGCTTGTATTTATTTAAAGGTTTTATCCAATCATATTTCGATCATCATCTGTTGCTAGGGTCCACAAATCTGCCTCAGGCCTTCAGAACGAGCAGCGAAGGCACCTGGAGGGTGAAACAAATGGAAGCGATACTGTTGCTTTGACCAATCAGGTGCTGAGTTGAAGACACCAGAGCCTGCTAGCTGGCCTCAGAGAGCGTCAACATTTTCTCATCGTTTGATTGGTTGATCAGAGAGCAGACATTCAGAACCGGGAAACTAGATTTCTGTAGCGTCTTACAAGCTAAATGCTGAGCGGACATTCTCAGAGTTACAGAAAATGAAAATGTTGTGTCTCTCTGGTTCCGTTTCGGTTCGGCTGGGCTTTGTCAGCTGCTGGACCCGTCTCTCTTTTGTC